TTTACAAAGTTTGGTTTTTCTTTGGGGTGAGGATGAATGGGCTGGTAATGACTTTGTCTGCATTTTTCAACCAAATTAAATTGACCGACATTGAACAGTAGGATAAAGACACTGATTTTCATGACAAATCGAAGCGTTTCATCTCATGTCATCGGCCTTAATTAACTATTTTGAATTATATATAGTGTACGTAGAACTTTTGATTATCTAGTAGTTAACTACTAGACGCCAAAGGCTATACAGCAATCTTTGTACAAATTTAGCTGAACAGAATTAATTTATAACACTGTAATATTCACGCGCAGATCTTGCAAGAATGGAAAAACCACTATAATCCACGAGAACACTGCAAGCTAGGTTACATTACGGATACAAAATACGACCATTTTATGCTGATTGACAACAAAATGTGTTTTTCCGATTAATGAAGATAAAATGGATAAATTTATTATTTTTTATTGATAAGAGGATATCCTTTTCGGATGGGGAGTTTTCTGTAGGCCTTTGGCCGAGAACAATTGCAATGTTGTGGTTCTTTAGAGTATTTTAGAGAAGATAACATTTAAACTAGGCCTACTTGGTAAGAACATGAATGTCACGGTGCCGATGTTGTTAATTGTGCCTGGGAAGAAAGACTGGAACTACGACTATAACGATAGCCTTATGTGAGTTATGCCGCGTCACATGACTTGGCTACGGCTGGCCTTCCCATACACTACACGTTACTGCCGGTCGTAGTCAAGTTATTACGTAGCCCTTATCTGTGGGAAAAGTTAAACATGACTGCTGCCACCTATCGACTGAAAAGCAGCCAATGAATGATGAAGAGTTATTAACGTTCGCAGTGCAGTATATGACTTGTATATTAATCAGAGACATCTTTATATACTGCAGCATTTATGTTATTATATGTGGCTTTTGCATCTTATTTTTGGCAATTTTAGTCAATTTATAATGTATACTTTTTATTTACGTGATGTGCCACGCGTGATGCGTATATGAATATCTCATATGACGAACGCCAACTATATATAGGTTTTCCCGGCCAATTTCACAAAAATAGCATTCGAATTCATCTTGATAGTGGCCAATTTGAAGCGAAGTAGCGCTGCTGTCATTCCCGTGGTTCGTAATAGATTTCAGGCGTTCAAATCCGTTTTAGGACCTTACATTTTCATGTTTTACACATCCTAAATTGAAGTTATGTCATTCGGTTAAAGTGATCATTCCATTTAGCAGTCGGTTTGGTTTAGGGTAATATTTGCATGAGATTCTAGTTTTCGTTTTCATTTCCGCGCATTCTATTTAGCACTATTTGCATTCAAAATGAAAGTCAACGAAGGTATACGGTGCGAGGCTTTTCATTTCTTTTACCTTTTGATTATTTCTGCTTCATGTCGTGGTCCATCTTTATGTTTCTGGCCTTCCTCTTGGCAGGTTTTCCTGTCTGCCAGGTCTCAGATACGTGGCTACAATTGACCTGCAGCAGTAGATCTGTTTATGCCAAGATTGTCTGCACGCGTTCAAGATAGTCTTGGGCATTGCCATCGAAAACTTCGATGAAGACCACGGTTTACGTTTGAAATTCTCATGTAACGCCCATGAGCTGACATATTGATATTTATAGAAGTGCTTCAATCCAACAATTTGCATGGTGATCAGAGTAGTGGCAGAATCTTGTGGGAGACAGGTTTTTATATCTATATTTCCAAATTGTAACAAAAACACTCCACCTTATTCTAACAAACAACGGAACGACAAGGACCTATTTCGAATTACTTTGCTCACTTTTCACATGCTTGCTTAATGGTGAATTCGAATGACCAAACTTACAGCTTGAAGCTCCCGCGAATTTGGATGCTCGTTTGTGCAATTTTAATTTGAATGCCCTATTTTTGAAATGGCATGATTAAAATGTGAAATCGCATGCTTGTAATGGGAAATTGAGTGGTCTTTTTAGGTAATTGAATGTTGATCTCAACGTGCATTCAAATTCGTGCGAAAATGGGTGATTGGTTGCCAATTTGGCGGCCAAATCTGCTAACTTGGCCGGGAAAACCTATATTAGACTAGTATAAATTACTGACGAAAGGAACACCTTATAGGAATCTTTGTAACGCAGCATAACTCAATGTCTGGTAGTAGTTCCGGTGTTGTAAAACGTCCGTACTTCTGAAACTGTTGCGCTCGACAAATCAGCTTCAATATCGGACTAAGCAAGAATTAGTCCGCATCTACCGGGCCGTCACGATGAATCTACCCGTGGCTCTCGGCACACTTGCGTCCGTCGTTCTCGGTAAGTTGACATTTTTTTTCGTACGTTACCTTTTCATTGCGAATGCATATATAGTCTACAGTGCTTTTTAACACACCTGGACATATGTTTAATAAAAAAAAAAAGTTTCATTTGAAACATTCACCGTTTTTGTGGTAGTTTCTTTTCTTGAGCAGATATATATAATGTGAACCCACCGGCATAACCATATCCAAAGGAGGCGGTTGGGGGGGGGGGGGGTTTCCTGGGGTGTGGTTAGATGGGGCAGGGGGACCCTTGGTGCGCACAATTTTTCCTTTATCCCAAAGACGTGTTCCCTGTGACATTTTCGACTTTAATCTCGAAAAAATATATTTGTTTTCAATTACTACTCTCATAAAAAAATGAAAGTATTCTCTTTTAAATCAGACATCGAACGAAAAAAAAAAACAGCGACGTTTAGCGTAGTTTTTAAAATATTTCTTGACAACGATCGAATCATCGGCTGCCAGAAATAATGCTGGTCTCGCATAAGGGCGAATCATTTGTGCGCAAGATAACATTCCTTATTCCTAGTGTTGGAGACGCCAAAAAAAATACACAAATTTAAAAGTCTTAAGGAGAAAAAGAAATCATTTTGTTTGAAGAGCACGAGGTATGAATCTTGGAACGGTTGCGATTAAGAACTACCCTATTCAGACGCATTACTTCCTGAAATCAGCCGGTGCGACCGGCTTATGTTGTGGCGCTTCTCTATCTTCTTCCTATGGTCTTCAAACTGCTATCTGCATGCCAAATGTTTCAGCCAATGGTCATCACTTAGGGTCACCAGTGGTCGTTTTTCTTCAAATTTACGAAGATATTTCTTCTCTCACTTGGTCAATACAGCCTCGCTTTGGTTACGTTGATTTGAATAAGGAAAAATCAAGATGGCCGCAACATGATTATGGTCTATACAGGATGTACACAGAATTAGGTAAAAGGTCACCGAATGGTTAGCAAAGTTTTTGTGTATGTGTGAAATGCATTACATGCTTTTTATGCACATTCTCAATCTGATTTCAACACAGATTTGGTTTACAGCTAGTTCACACATCGTCAGTTTTAGTCGGATTCTATGTAACATGCAAAATGCTCCTTTCCCACATTTTCAAAAAGTATTTTAGCCAAAGGTGGTGCATAACACCCCTGTCTTGAGCCTCATATGGAACTACTACTCTTACTGAGATACATCAGTAATGTTCTATCGAATTGAAATTTTAATTGAATTGAGAACCATTCTGTTACCAACTGGCGCATGCGCATTATCGTCGTTGACTATATTGGTTGCAGAAAAAAAAAAGTATTTGAGTCCTTTTTTTTTTCTCGTTTTGTTAGGGGGGGCTCTCAAAAAAATACTCCTCTTATATAAGGAAATGCACGTTTTGATTATTATTATTTCCATTGATTTAGCAAGCTTACGTGTTTGACATTATAGCAAGATTACATATACATCTCTCGGCGTGGCGCACCATGATTGGTTTCCGTTAGTGCCATGCAAACATTTACATAATTTACAAAAGGGTTCGTAATTAGTCTTCAATTTACTTAATTTTTCCAAAAAAGGACTAAAACCGTGATTGGTCCATTCGAATGCAGTGTTTTGTAATACAACAACAGCGAATCGCGTAGCATAATACAGAGCGCGTGACACATGTATTTTGTTTATGATGCGACAACGGTGAATGACCGAAGACCCGATATAGAAAGCGCCCGCTGATTGGTCAAACTCTAGAGGTCAAGATGCGTCTGTCTTGCATAATTAATCAGCGAATCTGCTAAAGTCTATTACATAGACTAGTAAAAACTGCTGATTGACCACCAAAAATGTGTTTTAAATCCTTATCAATGACGATAAATGATACACGTAGTTGGAGACTTTCGAGACGTTGGTGGCAGCAAACATACCAATCCTTTTTCAATTGTTTTCGTCATGTTTATATCAAAGCGCGCATGCTCAATATAACGCAAACAATGACAAAATGACCGGTATGTTTGCTGCCACCAACGTCTAAAAAAATTCCCATTGATAATTTATAAATATATTAACATTAAGAATAAGATGACATCTATCACATATTTAGCTACGATGAAACAGGAAACACCAGCATTTTACACAATAACAACTCTTCACTATAATCTAACAACGAACAGCTCGCACCTTGCAATAGCCTAGCTGTTAACATTTCTATTTAGAGTTTCCGTAAGAAATTTCAACGACAATGTATACGTAGAAAGGTTCCTTAATCTAAATTATGTGTATTGTTTAAATTATCGCGGTGCGGTGCGCACATTTTCAGTGAATTATCTTCTTAGCCCTACATCATGTTTCTATAAAATAACGCGGATTTGCAATTGAACGTGCCTGCGTCTTCACAAACATATTTTGGGATGCGATACACTACCTAAACTTTGTTTGTAGCATCTGTGCTATTAGGTTATCCTCAAAAGCTGTACAAATCAAAAATTTGAACGAATTAACATAAAACGTCATTTGAAATATAGATCAATAAGTCATATCATACAAATCCCTCGATTAATACAGGTAATACGAGCACTAAAGACGGCTCAAATTCTGGATTCTGGATTCTGAAAGTCCATTTGTGTTTTCTTCATCAATCAATCTTTTTCAAATGCACTACCTTGTTGTCCCAGGTCTTTAGCAATACTGGACAAGTTCACTCTGTTATCTTTCAATCTCACCAAAACAAGTGTCTGTTCAAATTTACCAAAAGCGAAATACAGAGTGAGCCGAGAACATTAAGTCATACGAATCGCGAGGCGGCAAGATAGTATTTGGCCACCAAACTCAAGCGCACCAGCCCACCTCACACCGCGGTAATCTTGCCCCGTGTAGTTGACGGGATAGGAATACTCCCCATTCAGGTTAGTCGGCACGAGATCCACATTCCCGACTCCTCCAGTACAAGTCTTGAACCACCAGCCTCCCTTCAGCTGAGCGGCACAATTGGCGTTGCCATCGGCGTCATTGTCGCGATCGTAGGTTGAGAACGGCTGGCCTACGGAAACGTCAGTGAAAGACTTACCTAGCAAACGGATGATAAATGATACCAAGTGTTGAGATTGATCGAAAAGCAATGTGCTATTCCACTGAGCTTGGAAGACAAAAAAAACGCTTCCTCGGATTACATTCCAATCCATGATATCAAGTTTAAGTTAACTATACAATCGTTTAACCACCAACCCACTACTGGTACCAAACCGATATAACGGTTTCTTTATCAAGTAAACTCTATCTTAAAGAAGTACCATCTTTTTGAAATTTTAACCGAAGTAGAGGTGTAGAGGGATCTTATTAACGTTCACTGGCATTTTTAATACACGTATCCATGAAAGACCACGAAAACTAGATCGTGACTTTTTACTTTTTAAGCAGACTCCTAGTCAAATAATAGGATAAGCTTTGTTAACATAGTCTGCGTGGAAAGGTTGAAATTGCTATTTTCAATGTTGATCGCGCTTTGTATTCACATAAATTGATGGGAAAATAAAAACTTGGGGCGAAACACTAACATTTTTGAAAAGGTAATACTTACCTGCTTCGTGAGGTTTCGTGCACCACTTTGAATGCGTTGTATGAATTGTATTCGTGGTTTCAATTCTTTGTTTGCCTTCAAAAACGTAATGTAAACTAAGCACGACTTTGATGTTTGCCATCATGGCGACAAAACTGGCATGTGGATAAAACTGCTTTTGAAATTGTTTCACAAAGGAGGCTGCTACGACAACTAGTATTCAAATTAGGAAATGTTAGTATTAGTATTCTTGAGTGGTGCTCTTAAGTGGTGGCCATTTAAAATGTATATTATATTTCGAGGGCTTTTTATGAATAATATTATCAAAAGTAGCATATTTATTTAGAAAGAAGACTAGTTGATACCTGCTGAGTAATGACGTTCCCATGGTTGCAATGGATTTACATGTAGTGTGTAGTTGTCACCTGCGATCTTGAACTGCTTCAATCTTAATTTCTTGGGGTATGCATATCCTGCTTCGTCCATTGTAATATGTAGATTCCAAGTGCCTTCCGAGGTCAGCTTGCGGACTACCTCGTTGCCCAGCCAGAACTCCCCCGTCAGATCACCGAAGCCGTCTCGGTACTCGGCCCAGCAACGGGTGAAATTGACCGACCCTAGTTTACGCTTGTGAATCACCTAGAACGAGTCAGCAGAGAACGAAGTTACCAAAGGAACAACTTTATCACTTAAATGAGTTATACATTAACACAGGACCTATATTGCCACCCTACCGTGACAATGCTACATAACGTGGCATTGATATTAGACGACCAGTGTTACATTAAATCCGCGAAGTGTAATGACTGAACTCAACAGGTGTTTAAAGTGCTTGCAGCTTTACACCATGCAGTGTTACAGTTGGCTTACTCGCCAGGGAGGGGTTATCCTTCCCATTCGGTGACGAGTTCCGCATTTCCTGCTTTTCTCTTTAATTTTCTTTTCTTTGTTTCCAGGGATGTTCCAAAATGCAATCAAGATGCAGTTTGTGTGCACACAGCACATCCTTCAATGGGATAAACATAGAACTCGCAAAAGCACGTATTTATGTAAATTGACATAAATAGTTCTACTTTGGGGGTTGACGACCTACCGACTCTCAGGTCGGGTCGGTTACATCTCTATA